TAATAGATTATTTGTAGTATGGCACCAGATACCACTTACAACATCTTGCTTTCCTTCTCGTCTCCTTTTTGTGTCTCATGCCACCATGAGGTACCTTCATTGCGCTTTCTCTTGTCAGCCCTACCAGACTCTTTTCGTTACTCGCTGACTGTTGAGGCTCAGTGTTGGTGTCCTGGGTGGTGTCATGTAGTTCAAGGGTAAGAGCAGGTAAAACAATTGGGCTAAATAAAGCATGTGCAGTTCAGCATGATTAAAGCAACATTGTGAAGATAGTCAAATATTATGATATACTATTTAGAGATACTAAAAATTTTTAATTTCAGAGAAATGCAGGTGGTATCGTGTTTTTCTTTATAGTCATAAAAGCAGTTTGGAATTAATAACTTATATTTGTATAGGACTTTACTTTAAAAGTGCTTTCTTCTATTAATCTCATTTATTCCTGACAGAAATCCTGTGAATTAAGTGGTCTTGAGGAAACTGAGTCTCGCGGAGGTAAAATGATTCATTTAAGGTCACATAGCAAAGTGGCAAATCTAGAAATCAAACCCAATTCTTAAGTGTAATACCAGAAATCTTTAACTATACTTGAATAAAGAGAAAATATTTCACATGTTTAGACATTTCTCAATTTATGTAGCTCTTTCTGTTTTAAAATATAGGCATTTGAAGATACACATATATAACCACAACCTCCTGTGATTTGAAATGTCACCCTTATTTTGGGGATAATGATAACAGTACGTTCTTTGTAATATAGCTACTTGGAGAAAAAAGTCTGAGGATTCTTTTGTATTTTGATAAAAGACAGTGAACACCACTCAACCTTGAAAGTCAGAGTATTAGTTCAGGTTAAAGACTATAATTTTGCAGTGCCTTTGACTGCTAGCAGGTGGCGTGAGTGTACCACACATGTGTTTCTGAAATATTTATGATTTTTGGCATGAACTCCATGTAGTTTTGAACAATAAAACATTAATGTGAATGGGAGTTTTAAAACATTTGTTACAGTAATGATCAGCATTGCTGCCATTTTTTT